AGAGGAGGGGGCTGTGTTGTTTGTTTTTAAACGAAGTGTGCGCATGCGCCGTTGGGTGCTTGTGCACATCCCATGTAGACTTGAAAAAAAAAAACCTTTTAGCGACAGGACATGGACGGGCGCTGGATGCAACGACCTACCACCGGAAACGTGATCAAGCGCCCGCCCTTTCCCTGCGGTTTCCAGAAACTAGTACCTCAGAGGTACTAGTTTTTTACCCCGCATCTTCGGCAGGAAGCCTCGGGTTCGCCACGGGAGCTCTACGCTTCCCAGATGTGGCGCTGTGATCATGCCCGGAAAATCCGCCTATCTTCCGTCTCTGTAGCGTGGCTAATGCTCCGTGTGACCGCAGCCATAGTAAGGTTTTCAGTTTCCAGGAGCCCAGTTGTCTCTACCACAAGGCAGATAAGCTGGGATAGGGCAATTAATAAATAATAATGATAGTATCACAATAATAACATCACATTAAAAAAAGGTAGGGCCAACCCTGGCAAGTACTTGGAAGGGAGACCTTGAAGGAATACCAGGATCGGGACACAGAGGCAGGCAATAGTAAGCCACCTTACTAATAGACATTGCCCTTGTTTAAATGGAATTATTGAAACAGTGCCTCATGTGTTGTTAGAGTGTTCTTATAATAATAATATTAGACAAAGTGTTTTATCCTCAATTTTATCCAGTATTATGGATTTTCCTGATACACATAAATTGTTTTTTCTGCTTAACAACACTGATGACTACATAACCGATTCTGTGGCAAAGTTTTTATATGCTGCTGTTCTTATACGAAGTAATATACTGTAATTTTGGGACATTTTAATTTGTGACTTATTCTGTGTTCAGTCCTTTTATGTATTTGTCTTAATGTTCTCCCTTTTATAATGCCAATAAAGGTAAACTAAGTAACTAAATACCAGGGCTGGGACGCAGAGGCAGGCAATACTAAGCCACCTCTCTGAAAGTCCAAGCCCCACTGGGGGTTGCCAGAAGTCAACTATGACTTCCAAGCGTGCACGCAAGCACACGCACAAACACAATACCAAAGGAAGGAATGAAGCAAGGAAGGAGAAAATGGGAGTGTTTGTTTCCCCATACAACTCCCCCCCCCCAATTCATTTAGGGATGGTTTCCATTGACGAAGCACTGCAACAATTATTAGGAATGGATGGAACTGTGTTCTGCATCCAAAGGTACTTGTTCATTATTTCATGGTAATAAAATGGCACTACATCCCCTGCTGAGTTATCCCTTCTCTGTACTGTTGTTAAGTAATGGAAAGTAGAGGATCCTCAGCCAGTGTCTCCATGAACCACCAACAATAGGATTTAGCTCTGTTTTCCACTGGTGGTAAAGAGGCAGTGTGGTGTAGTGGTTAGAGCAGGGTTCACCAATGTGGTTCCCATGGGCACCATGGCACTGCTTCCCCTGCTGCCCACTGAGTGTTTCAGAAAGTGGGCAGGGCATGTTATTGGCTGCTCTCATTGAAATGAAAGGGTTTCCATGGCTGGTAGGCACTGGAGGATCAGGACTGTTTAGCACCTGGGCTTTCCTTAGACATTTGGTTTGGTTCCATTCTCCCTTTTCAGGCCTGGCTGAATGTTACTGTGAGCATCCTTTGCAAAACAGAAAGGGATCTTACTAGTTCTAGTCTTAGTCCAGGGAGCTGGGCTGTTCTATGACAGGAGATAAGTGCTGAGGAGTAGAAGCCCACCCACTCATTCTCCAGGTTTTCTGTCCTCCCAGTAGATGGACCATGCTTCCAACCAAAGTACAAATAAAACTAACCTCAACAGACCAATGGCCAGGCTCTGATTAAGTCAGCTTCATATGTTCAATGTAGTTTCCAGATGATTCATTTTGCAAGGTAAGGAGTGAGGTATTGCATCTCTGTCTGCCACCCGTGGCAGCCATTTTGAAGTAGCACTCACCACCTCCTCTCTGAACTGGAGCCTGCATGGTCAAAAAGACTGGGGACCCTGGATTAGTGTTTTGGACTATAATCTGAGAAACCCAGGTTTGAACACCCACTCTGCCATGAAAGCTTGCTGGGTGATAATGGGGCTGTCACACATTCTCAGCCTAACTTACCTCACAGCTTAGTTGTGAGGATAAGATGGAGGAGAGGAGAATGATGTATGTCACTCCCCATTGGGGAGAAAGGGAGGAAATAAATGTTTGGTTTGCATGTCAGCTCTTGCTGTGCCTAAAAGGTCCTTTCCATTGTCTCTTTCACAGCCAGCATCAGGTGGCAAATGAACCCCTAAGAATGTATTTAAAATTTTTCCACATTACCTGCCACAAATGAAGGTCTTTTGTCTCGAATTGGAGCAGTTTGGCTAGGTTCTTCTTCTGTGTCATACTTAGGCCAGCCAGCAAGAGTGTTCTTCCTGTCACTACTTGGTCTGCTGTTATTCTGGGCGTGTGGTAGGCTTTCAGTTTTGCCTAGATGAGCTCATCTGTGAGTGCCATGCCAGAGAGGCGTGTTCACACATGTAGCCTGCCCCTGAGCAAACACTCTCCTACTTGGGCTCAGTTGAAGTGTGAACACAACTGCTCAGTGGTAATAGATGGTAATCCCTAGTTATTCACATCTCACTAATGAGGTGTGAATTAACATCCCTTATCTTCTCCCCCCTCCCCTTGCTGAATTCCTCAGATGATGTCAATGCCAACACTCTGTTCTCTTTTGTGCTTTGTTAAAAGTGGGGAAAGCAATGATTGGCTGGCTGTAAGTTGCTTTCCATAGCATTTTTCCTTATTGTGCAGATAAAACTGGAGGGATTTTTGTCTCCAGATTGCCTAGAGATGTGTATGTCAGTTGGAATTCACTATAGTGTTATGGGGGGGTGGGGGTAAAGTGTATGATGTCAGATAATGTCACCTGAACCTGACACTTACAAACTCACATTGATTTATATTAAACCTTATCAAAATAGTGGGAAGCCGTCACCATCTCTTGGAGATCTGTCATCAAGATAACTTGCAGGAGATAAAAATAAGTTTTCCATTCCCTGAAAATAGCTGCAAGCAGTAGCTTTAGCATTTCTAACAAGACAATCAGTTTAAACACAGAAAGCCACTTGTACGTTTTAGACCAGTGTGGTGGTCCATTTCAAAGGAAGATCTGGACATTATAATTGTTCTAATACAGATGTCAAAAGCAAACCCCAAATAAAGCTGCTGTTCACAAGAGCTCTTGAATGCCTCCAGCCACAGGACTGTTGCTACTCCCATCACACAGTAGCCTCCTACCAGTGTCTTTTCTAAGCGACACTGTTAATTAGCAGGCAGAAATGGGAAAGCACAGACAACATGGAAGGCCATGCTAGAAAATTTTGCTGTCACATTTTCAGATTTATACTCACAATAATGAGAGATACTTTGTTTCCAGGGTGGCTGCTTGCTGAGGTATCCTATTTCTGAGGGTTTTATTCTCACAATGCACATCTCTGAACAGGTCCTGCCCTGTAGCTCAGTGGCAGAGCACAGATTTTACTTGTTGTAGGTGCTAGGCTAGACCTTTAGCAAAGGGGTATCAAATAGCTGACTTGTGTGTGACTGAGATGCTGTAGAACAAGTCTAGCTTGAGGTAACTGCTTATATTCAGTCCGCAAACTGCTGGCAATGGTGGGTTGTTTTGTTTTTTGTTTGTTTGCAGCCTCATCTGGAATAATGTATTAAGAAAAATGTGGGGTATCTCAAATCACAGCCTAGGAAAACAGGTTTTTGTATTAAATCTGGATTACATTAGATGCATACCATCCACAGGTTGAAATAGAAGCCCTTTGCCTCACTGCCAAATTCCTAATCTGCACAAATGTTAAGATGTTGCTGCTAATATCTGTTAAAACCATAAAATGAGTGAGAGAATTGCTTTGGAGTGACTCTTTTCTCCTTGTTTAAACACTGTTGGGAACTTGCTGAGTGTCTGAAGAAAGGCAGATTTCTTTAGGAAGCTTTCCCCATGCATAATAATGAGCAGAAGACTAACAATTATCAAAAAGACCCACTGATTAAAATAGCAGTGCAAAGCATTGGCTTCACTAATGCTAATAAAAAAAAGCTTGCCGATCTGCCACAGCTTGCGGCAAAATGGTTTTAAAAGATCTTCTAACCAAAGTAGATAATATCAACAATTATCCAATAGTGCTTCATTAGGAGGAGGATTACTTCATTGTGGCGGGGCAGCTTGTGACAGTGAGAGTGACAGGAAGCCCTTGAATAGCATTATGGATTAATAAGCAGCTGGGGCTCCGTGTGGGCTGCCTGCTGAGGGGACACGGCACTTGCTTAGCAGCCTCTGTACCGCTTGCTTGCGGCATTCTCTTTGAAGACAAACCTTATTAGAGCTGGATGGAAATTGGAAGGGGGGAAGTTCTGTTGGCTTTTTTCCTGGTGGTGGTGGGGACTGGCCTTCTGCCTCTGCTTAGCATGTTCTGGGGGTAGGGATAGTGTCAGTTCCCAGACCCAAGGAAGAAAAGGTCCTTGAAATGTACATTGGCTTCTGTTTCCCTCTTCTGCACTTGTACTAAATTTGGTAGATGGTTGTCCTCCTCCCTTTGATGGTCAGTTTGACTTCTAGAACCCTCAGTATGCTTGGCAGAGATGGAGAGGTGGGTGTTCCTCCCGCAAGGTAGCAGATTTTGGCTGTCCAGACTATTTTGAAATAGGTTCTCTATTACATTGCCTTGTTAGCTGTTCTATGGATGTTTATATCGATAAAGTCAGCTACACCAATGTTTTGGGGTCATGAATGAAAGAAGCATAAACAGGCTTTTGAAAAGTCACTGAGGGAGAACTGTCATCATCTCCGTCACCCTCTGAGTGGCACATGATGATGTCAGAGACTTGCAAATCTCATTTGTTGTCCAGAAAATGTCTGCAGTGCTGTTTGGCACTTTTTTAAAGCCTGCCTAAAAGCGAACTGTGATTGGTGCACCATCAAGGATGGCTGATGTTCTCCTGCCTTTACTCATCTTCCAATTTTTCCCCCATTCCAGATGGCAGCTCTTCAGAGTCCCTTCTATGGTGATAAAATGAACTTGTTTTCTCTCTGCCAAAAGATAGAGCAATGCGATTACCCACCTCTTCCAGCTGAACATTATTCTGAAAAGGTGAGTCACTCTCAAAACAGCAACTTGCAGAGCAGCTGAATATGCTCTATGGGGAGTCTCAGGAAGGAACAGCCCACACCCAGCTGGATAAAAGTGAGGTCCCCTTCAGGCAGCTGCCCTAAAAAAAACCACCTCATGGCTGTTTCCACGAGGCTGTTCTGAAAGTGAGGAATAAATTGGTGTTTATGAACTGCACTTTCAAAAGCTACAGTGAGGAAAGGTGCCCCTTCTAAGGCACATACCATAAGGCAGTGGACAAACTGGGATGTGATGACTGGAGGAAGAGCAATGCTGAGACATTGGAACAGGCTGGGTACTTTTAAGGCTTGGTTTACGTGACAGTTTAGGCATGCAATGCAGTATGGCTGTGCCTATTCAACATTCAGCCTCTGCTGAAGTCCAGCCTTTGTCTTTCCCGCTGCCTGCTTATTGTTGACTTTTGTTTCCAAGAAAGCTCCCTGTGTTTGTTTCCCTTGGTCCCTAATGATTTGGGCAGTATCATGTCTTAGGAATGAACATGTTAAGTACTTGAGAGAAGCCAGTGGTTTACATTTTCTCCCGGTTCCTATAAAAAATGCAACCTTTTAGAATTTAAAGTGTGTAAGTCTGAGCAGGAAAACCTACTTGTTGCATGCCTACCAGCTCTGTATGTACTGTTTTGGTAGTGTCCCTTTTGTGTCCCATTACGATTTTCACAGAAGTGGGATGAGATTTTAATGGAACTTAAAGAAGTGGGGATGTTACAGCTTCTCTATAAAAACCGAAGTGAGAGTAGGTGTGCAGCAGCCCTAGAGAGAATCTGTGTTTGTATTCCACCACCTCCTCCTCACCTCAGAGCCAAGTGAACAGTTTCTGAATTCACAAGATATGCAGGCTTGCATTGCAGAATGCACAGTGCAGGCCTCTGAGATACACTTGGGCCCTGCACATGGGGAGAAGCTGGTAGACATTTGTCTCTCTGAGGGAAATGTTTTGAGTCATGTGCAAGGGCAGCCAGGCTTATTCAGAGCTCAAGTTTGTCTCTTATCAAATCTGTTTGCTTTATTCTGATGCCAATACAAACACTTCCTGCTAGTAGCACTCCTCCTGTACAGTGATGTCTGTCTGGGACTTCTTAAGCTTAGAGGTAGGGCATCCTGAGAAATTGTACTTCTTTCAGCATACATGCACAATGTTTGGGAGAATCAGACTGCCACTAGATGGGGCTTTGGTGTGCTGCACAATTCTTTGCACTTCCTCCATAACACAAGAAGCCCCAAAATGTGCAAATTGCTGTTTCAAGTAATCCTGCCTTGCTTGTTAGATTGAGCACAGTGATGCCTTTTGGTCAGTGGATTCCCACAAGGGTAGGTTCAGCATGCTGGGGTTTTTTTCCCTGTGGGCACTCCAGTTTGTGGAGCGGCCTCCCAGAGGAAATGAGAAGGATCTGCATCCTTTGCAGTTTTGAAGGTCTTGTCAAACAGTTCTTTAGAAGAGCCTTTGGGGCACCTTCATAGACTGCAGTCTCTCTTGGATTTCATCTTTAAGTTTTTCTGCTGGTTGTTTTCATTCCCTTTTTCTTAAAAGTATGCCATGGTGTGCTGAGTTCATTGTCACTCATGTTGGATAATCTGGGAGAAAATTAGATTTAGAACTGTTTTAAATGAATATGTACGTAGAGGGAGACCTCAGCTGGCTCCTCCTGTTTCTGTAAGCAGATCCCCGGGGTACATCTCTTTTCTTACTGGAATGTTTGTGCTGCAGGGGTGGCTACTGCTGCTGCTGCTTTGGACAGGCCCCCAGGGGCCCCCACCCCCTGCAGCAGCTTGCTGCTTGATTTCTGATGTATGGAAGGCCCTGGTGCCTTAACCCACCTATGCAATTTAAGTCTTTGTCTGGTGACTTATAGGCTTGCAAAGCGCAGTTAAATTGGTTTGGAAAGCGAGTCTTTCTTCCCAGAAGCTTCTGTAGCCAAGTCAGGCTTGGAGAGAATGCTTTGCTTTGCCTTGCCAGGCTGCTGTTGCAGTTCTTCGGGATCTGCCTTCTGGCAGCAGCAATTAGTGTGAGTTGACAGATGTGTTTCCTGTCTCTCCAATTACTGTCGGTTTGCCTCCCTCTGGCAGTGCTAAAGAGTGTGCAGTCTAGTGATGCAATTCAGGGTGAGAAGGATGGTGGAGAGCTCCAAAGCGGCAGGGCCCAGAGACCTCCCTTCCAGATGGTGCTTTTACATGCAACAGGATGCAAGGATCAGGTCACTAGCTCAGGATCAGATCACAGGACGAGCTCCTGCTGCTGCTGCTGCTGCTGCTGCTGCTGCTGCTCTTGCACAAAGCTACATGGAAAGTAATGACCTACATGCTTAAGACTGGTATACCTCAGGCATGTAGTTGTCATTTCACAACCCTATACACTGTTTCTGCTGGAAAAGTCATTTCGAGAGTGGATATGTCATCCTTTAGCAGGTTGTTTTGCCCTGCACAACTTCAATTAACTAGGTGAGATGCATGGGACAATTAGGCCTGGAATTTGCTGGTGGGCCTCTTGCCATCACACAAGTGGTACCCCTTGTGCGGGGGAGGCAGACTAAGCATACAACGGAGCAACAGTGCAAGTGGCCCACCTCTCACAGGAGACTGCTTTCTGTCATACGGTCTGACGAAAGCAGAGTGAACCAGGAGGTGAGCTGTGCTTCAGACCTGTCTCCTTCCCTAGTGAGGCAATGTTGCATCAAGGCTCCTTTGGAGGACAGTGGGAGGCAGCTGCTCAGTGTCTCTATTCATACTTATGACTGACTGCAGTTAAGTAAAGGTGGTCCTCTGCACCCATATAAAATCAACCCAGCTGCAGACAGGGAACTGCCCTCCTTGCTTCCGATTGCAGGATGGTCATGCTTTTAATTACCATTAAAATAATTGGTTCTGTTGCTACTGGGAGGATGGGAGAAGATCAGAGGCTCATGGCTGTTTCTTTTGGTGCCTTAGGGTGTGTAAGCTGCTTCCAGGGGCTGTGTAATTAAAAGCTCCAGTCTTTCAAGTACAAAATAAAAAGGCTAGGGCGGTGGGAGTTGCAGCACTTCTGTACGTTCTTTATTATGCAAGCAAAAGTGATGTGAACAAGAGGGTCACAGCTTTCTCAACTGGCTAATGGCCCCAAAGCAAGGTTGGTACAGGAAAGGGACTCTTGGATTATTCTAACCATCACTGCCATAGCCTGGCTCTGTAGGCTGCATGCCTGGCCACGTTGTATCTGTGCCCGATGTCTCTAGGCTTTATCTCTGCAGCCTGCATTGCAAGGTTCCGTGGGGTAGTAATGGGTAGCAATGCACGCTCACTTCCTGATCAACTACCGCTCCTCTCCCTTTTTCTCAGATGCTGAATACTTTGTTTATGTACACTCTGTGGTGTTTGTGATTCTTGCTAAGTTACCTGGCCAGGTAACTTATCGTCCCTTTTATAAAGGGCACATATTAGCCACCTTGAGCCACTGGGAAAGGCAAGATATTACTTTTAAAAAAAATAGACGAGGGCTTTCCCACAGACCCCTCTTTAGAATGTTTTACATTATTTGAATGTTTTTAATCAATTTCTCTGATAGCTGATGAAAAAGTCATTGAAGTTTTTACACTATTTGCTGTGTGTTCTTAAAGCCATTTGACAGATGAGGGTGGTGAGACTGAACCTACACAGGAATTAATTGCAGCAGTGAATGTGGAAACAGTAAATCCTGCGTTGATGGGGTTGCTAACCTCCAGGTGTGTCCTGGATATCTTCTGGAATTACAACTGATCAGTTCCCTTGGAGGAAATGGCAGCTTTGGAGGATGGACTCTATGGCATCACATACCTGCTGAGCCAAACTCCACCCTGCCAAGGCTCCACACCCAAATTTTCGTGAATTTTCCAACCTGGAGTTGGCAACCATATGCGCTGAAGATGCTGCCACTGTGTCTTAAACTGCACAAGATTGTTTCTAGAGTGCCAGTGTGAACATTCAACTATATACACTTATGTTGTGCATGTGTGTTTTGATATATACATTTTACTATCTTAAACAAAAGCAACTAGAAATGTTCTGCTTGTGTAAACTCAAGACTCCGTTATTTTCAGTGTAGTGCTGATGGGTAAGAACTGTGGGATCTTCCATAAAATATATTATGTAAATTTTGGCTGCTTTATATGTAACTTTAGCAAATTAGAGATCCATCTCCTGCACAGTCATTGCATGGGTACTTGTGTGAATAAAAACACTGGGGGTATACTGGCATCATGTTTAAATTAGGTAATGGGATGCTTTTATTCTCCAGTGGTCCAGGAGTGGGGCAGTCCTTGACTCCTTACTCCTGGGAAAGCACCTCCCCCTTGTGTAGGCAGGGCTGGCAAACTTTGATCCCAGAGGGGAGGGGCTTATCCTCTGATCCCCAGTCTTACCGGCCCTGCCTTCTGAGCAGGATGTGCTGGCTGTGCTCTGAAGAGCACGAAGATCCCAGAAGACACCGGAAGGTCAGAAGAAGAAGAAGCAGAGACCTAAAGGGCAATGGTAGAAGCCCTAAAACATATTCGAGAGCTGCAGGCCTCGAATTACAATGGATCCGGTGCCGGCAATCCTGGGAGGCCCCCAGGCGGTTGCGGCACTGAGAGCAATGCCTCGGACCCCGCCGGGAAGGCGGCGGTAAACTGCTCCCCCCCCCCATTCCAGCCGAGGCAGCATGCAGTGGTTTTGGGGACAGACGCTCAGTGAAGAGCCTGGGGAGAGCAGAGGCAAGAGAGGCAGCCGAGGGTGGTGCAGAATCTCTGTCGCCGTCCCTTTCGGCATTGGAATGGAGCCCCCTCCTTGTTCCAGTTTGTGGCGAAGAGGGACGTGTCTCCTGCGCAGTCTACCCGGTCGGCTGAACCACGGTAGGACTGTATCCATTGAGAAGTGGGTGGGGTAGGGCTCCATTTTGGGGCTCTGTTAGGAGAGTG